TAAGCGTTTTGCGGTCTTGGTGGCTTGGGAGTTTAGGGCTTCGGGTTTTTTACGTTCGGGGCTTTTTGCGTTTGGGGCCTTTAACTTGGCGAGGTGTTTAATGTTTTGGCCTTAAGGGGTATGGGCTTTGGATTTCAGGCCTCAGGTTTCATACTTTCGGGTTTAGGACCTGGGGAGTCCGGCAGAGTGAAGCAGCGTCGCAGGAGGCGGATCTCGACAACGAGCGGTTGATCCAGCCGGGAGCGCTGATGCTTGCTGCGGGGGCCTTAGATGTGATGAAACGCGAAACCCGAAGGGTTTAGGGTTTAGGGTTTAGGGTTTAGGGTTTAGGGTTTAGGGTTTAGGGTTTAGGGTTTAGGGTTTAGGGTTTAGGGTTTCCCTGAACCCTAAACCGGATGTTGTGGGTACTTAGACCCACCAGGTTGCACGCGCTCAGGAAGGGTCATTTCCCAGTCCACGTCTGCCCTCCCCTCTACTCGCGGCTTCGGTGAATCCCAGGCACCCCCTTGCCATATCCTCATCCCAGAGAAACCCTAAGCCAAACCCACCAAGCCGCATGGCCGATAGCCCCCCCTAAGGGTCCATGTACCTCATTATTATATACTTGGGCCCCAAAGTCCCTATATAGGAAGTACTTTAAGGCCTAGGTATTCAATATTTAGGTACATGGACCCTTAGGGCCCAGCACGCAGAAGAACCCCGGGGCCTTCAGCTGAGGACAACGGCATCTGCTGCATCGATGAGTTCCACTGCATGGATGCCAAGGCCGGGGCTGACTCAAGCGCTTTATCTTCCTGTTGGCTTGTATTTCGTATGCATCCCAAAGGAAGTCTCCTTTGTTTGTAGTTTTTTTACAAAACCCAAGGGGATGTTTTCGGGTTCGAAGGGGAGTATGGTAGTCTGACAACTCTTGCGTTTCAGGGTTTAGGGTGTGGGGTACTAGGCTGTCTAGGGCTTCTTGGAGGCTCATGGGTAGGCATCACTGGGGGTGAACAGTATAGGCGCCACAAAAAGCTACTAAGTTATTGGCTTCTTTTGACCAACCATGACCGTTCAAGCAGGGATTTTTGAGCCTGCGCTTCTCCATCGGCATGGAAGTGCAAAGCTGGGGGTGTTGTTGTTTTAGCAGTCGACTATAAGTGAGACCTTTAGCCGTTTTGGGGGTATTATCATCCCCTATATCCCTCAGCACCATAAACCCCAAAAGCCCTGAACCCTTGTCTGTGGGGTTTTGGGGTAAGGTTTCCTCGCACGCAAGCACCCCAAACCCTAAACACATAAATCGCCAACATCCTAACTCCTGAACACCCGAGACACCCTAAACACGTAGACCCTAACCCGAAGCCCGCAAACCCGCTTATGAACCCCCTCTCCACAGGACATGGTGGCTATCCATGAGGCGATGGAGCAGCAGACCATCTCTCTCTCCAAGGCTTTCCGACGCCGGGCTTGCCGAACTCACTTCCCTTAAGGGCTTAGGGTTTAGGGTTTCGGGCTTTGGGGTTTCACCAGGGATTTTAGAGTTTAGGGCTTGGGGTTCAGGGCTTAGGGGTTTGCGGGAGTTCAGACGCCTGAAAGTGCGAACTCGAAGTTGACAGGAGCCTAGAAGCTGCAAATACCAATGCCACGAGTCCCTCTCCCTCCCTCCCTCCCTCCCTCCCTCTCTCTCTCTCTCTCTCTCTCTCTCTCTCTCTCTCTTTCTAGTAGGAACTACCAACAGTTCCCCTTGTATTGAACGGCAATACGTCATCCCTAGATGCCAAGAGTGACCTTTCAGATATTTCGAGATTCAGCGTTTATATTTTTCGCGTTGTCGGTCGAGGAGGGCGGGGGGGGGGGGGGGGGGGGGGGGGAGGGGGAGGGGGAGGGGAGAGAGGGGGAGGGGAGGGGGGAGGGGAGGAGGGGGGGAGGAGGGGGAGGGGAGGGAGGGGAGGAGGGAGTTGGGCACTGGAGATAGATCCGAACCCTGAACCCTCAACTGCCTGACAGCCAGTACGGCTTGTCGGAGCACTGTTGTGAGGCCTGCAGCCCTTGGATCCCGTGAAGCCAAGCACACAAACCCTTGACATCAAGGTTTGCGGGTTTTTTCGGCTTTTAGTTTTAGGGCTTCACTCCAGAGTTTGGGTAGTTTGGAAATGGAAACAGGGATTGTCGGGGCATGGTCTTGGTAAACATTCCGCCCCCTAAGCCCTATAAAACCCTAAGCCCCATTCGAAATGCCCACTGACGTGCCGACTCCCGCCGTCGGGTTTCAGTGAAGGCCGGCATCAAAGCGACGCTGAATGAGACTTGGATTTGTGGTTTTTGGGAAGAGGGTTTGGGCTAGGGGACTTGGGTTTCGGGCCTTTAGGGTTTTTAGGGCTTTTGAAGCTTTTAGGGCTTTTGGGTGCTGTCATTAAGGCTTTTGCGGGTTTTGGGTGTAGGGTTCAGAGTGTGGCAAAACTAGCCATGGCTAAAAAGGGAGCTGAGATGTCTGGGGATCCTAGTTCATGAGTTTATGGTTTAGGGTTTAGGGTTTAGGGCTTCAAAAGCAGCCGCAGTGAGAACTGGTCACAGCCAGATGCCCGAAACCCTAAACCCTCAGTTATGAATCAGCCCAGGTACTGTATCGTGGCCTTCTTGCGAGGAAAATCTTATCCAAGCCTGGAATCCCCCAAATCTCTCGGGTCTCGTTTCGGGGTTGAGGGTTTTGGGGGATTGTAGGGTTCAGGGTTTAGTCCCTATTAAGGATGATAGTACCCCCTATTACAATCCCTATTAAGGATTGTTAGAAAAAGGGGGAACACCCCCAAGTTTGGCGTTTAGACCCCTGGACCCAACGCTGTACCCGAAGAAGTGCAGCGCACCCTGCAATTTTGGGAGTCTTTGAAGCGTCCTGGCGCCCCTCCATCGAGTCCCTATATGGGGGGTGGGGGTGGGGGGCGGGGGGGGGGGGGTGGGGGGGATTACGAAATAAGGGACCCCGAACCCACATGGTGGCTAGGGAGGCCCTTGAGACATTTTACATGTTTGCCCTAAGGGGATCATCTTCAGAACTATTTTTCAGAGGGTTGTAAGGTCTCTCCTAGGTAGGATTGACTGAGCATAAGGACCCAACAAGGCAGCCCCCCCCCCCCCCCCCATTTCGGAAACCGAAATTCCTCATGTTCCCAGTCGAAATCCCCAGGCTCTAGAACCCCCAATGCTCAACCCTCGACTCTCCAAAGCCCTAAACGCCCTAAAGCCCATGCGGTTTAGGGTTTAGGGTTTAGGGTTTAGGGTTTAGGGTTTAGGGTCATGAGGCCTCAGATCTCTCCCCCAAGGCCCTGCACCGCATCGCTAAGTCCCTTAAAAGGTGAAAGCCCCTCAACATCTAAGAGCCCTAAGTCCTTAAGCCCTGTTCATGGGGGGTCATGTGTATGTTTTGGGGATTTAGGGTTCAGGGTTTTGGGGGCTACTTGAAGGTTCATGGTCGGGTGGAGCTGGGGGTTATACATCTCAAGGCTCTGGTTCTAACACTACTGGTGAACGCCGAACCCTCAAGGTTTGTTTAGGGTTTAGGGTTTAGGATTTAGGATTTGGGGTTTTGGGTTTAGGGAACCCTACTGGCAACTACTGCAAGCCCTTTGAACCTTAACCACCCAAGGCCCGTGCGTCGATTTTAGCCTCGGTCCTGCCAAAGACCACCTACTACCAGCGCCCAAGCGAGAAGACAGGGCTTTTTAGGCTCAGGGCCTGAGCAGGTTGAGGACTTTTTAGCACTGCGTCGGGGCTGTCGGGGGCTTGGATTTAAGCATAGAATAGGGTTTAGGGTTGAGGGTTTCAGGGTTCAGGGTTCAGGGTTTAGGGTTTAGGATTTAGGGTCTAGGGTGACTTGTCTTTTTAGGTGTTTGGGGGGTCCCCTGATAAGGAAAAGTTTTGAGCGTGCAGGGACGAGAGCCTTGAAGGAGACATCGTCACACGGGTAGAGAAACCCTGGACCCTGTGGACCAGTTTAGGGTTTAGGATTTAGGGTTTAGGGTTACCCTAAACCCTAAACCCATCTCCTAAGGTTCGTTGGACGGTGCTCTCCAGTTCAAAGTTCGGATTCGCATGTAGGGGCATGCTAGCCTGGCAGCTGTCATAACTTCGCTATGGCCTTGCAAGGGGATGTTACAACCCACTTAAACCTTCACGTGGACCTAAGCCCCAGAGTGATCCAAACCCGAAGCTGCGCTGGGCTTCTCTAGTTTTAGTGTTTTGGGTTTAGGCTTTCCAACCGCTACAAACCCTGCAACAATATCCCCTAAACCCCAAGCCCTACGACATTGTTCGGGCTTCAGGATTCATGGTTTGGGGCGTCCCTTTCAAAGTGCAGCCCCCCAAAACAAGAACCTTAACTGCCAGCAGCCCCAACTCCGAACCTTAAGGCACTTAGTCTGACTGCCACAGATGGTTGCCTCGAGTTTGGGGGTTTTGGGGTGTTTGCCGTATGTAGTGTTTAAGGGTATATGTAGCCTGATGGCCTAAGTAGCTCCACAATGTATGACCCGGTGGTCACGTAAAAAAGGGATCCCTTCTGTAGTTGCTTTCAAAACCCTGTATGGAAGGGTTGAGGAGCTATAGGTTAGCACCATACTAAATATTTGGGCTACCTTAACACATACTTCTGACCTCTAACTTCAGATGAACTCCTGACCCTCGAAGCAGCCCCCTAACTGTAAACCCTAGAAGCATCACTTATAATTGACCATGAATTCACCAACTAAAGCGCTAGGCAGCCCTTGGCCCGCAACCCTAACCCGCCCTGAAACCCTAAACCCCCAAATCCCTAAACCCTAAGCCCCCCCCCCCCCCCCCCCCCAGAACCCCTAAATCCAGAACCCCCAAACCCCAAACTCCAAACCCCAAACCCCAAACCCCGAACCCTAAACCCTAAACCCTAAACCCTAAACCCTAAACCCTAAACCCTAAACCCTAAACCCTAAAAGCCAAGGCCGGCCTTGCCTTTGCACAAGAACTGCGAGCTGAGCCCGCCCATCATGTCGCGTTTCGACCTCTTCTTCGTGCTGCAGGAGGGATTGGGTTTAGGGTTTAGGGTTTAGGGTTTAGGGTTTAGGGTTTAGGGTCTTGGGTCTAGGGTTTGGGGTTTAGGGCTAGCTGAGCCCATGATAGAGATTGCTGGTTTCCTAGTCTAACCCTAAACCCTAAAGCCTAAACCCTAAACCCTAAAAACTAAACATAGCTTCCTCAGCCCCGATTCAGGGTTTAGGGGTCCAGGGTTTGGGGTTTAGAGTTTAGGGCTCAGGGTTTAGGCGTCTGGGGTTTAAGGGGTTAGGGTTTTAGGGTAGGGCTTGTTGTTTGAGGGTCTCTAAACCCCGAACGACCCGTTTGTTTGGGGTTTTCTTGCCAGGACATCCGTGATGAAACCCAAGACAGCAACGTGGCAAAGCACATCCTGGCGCAGCACTTTGCCAAGGAGCCTGATACAGTGTTTCGGGTTGTGGCCCAGTTCGTCGGAATTGGTAGTTAGGGTAGTGTAGGGGTGGCAGCGGGCCAAACCTTCTTAGTTATCCGGGTTCTTAAATTTACACACCCAGAGCCCAGTCGGGAATTAGATGGTCTAAGATTTGAGCTTTGTCAATCCATGACTCGCAAGAACCAACAACCCTTTCCAAATTTCCTGTATGTTTTTGTGGCCAGGTTTGATGAAGCACAAAACGCCTGGGCGGTGTTTTTGGTTGTTAAAGGCGGCGTTTATTTGAGGAGAGAACCGAGGCTCTGGAGCTGTTTGTTTTGTGAGGCCAGAAAAACTTAAGAAACAAGAGAGCCAAGGAAGATATGCAGCCCAGAGCACACGCTGCTGCACCCGACCCCATTGTTTTGGAAGGCTGTCGTCGTTTTATTTGTGTTATTTGGGATGTTCCCCCTTATACTCACAATCCTTGTTAGAGATGATCATAGGGGGTAGTACTAGAATCCCTATTAAGGACTGTCAGTATAAGTGGAACATCCCAAGTTTGACCTTTGTCATGTTTTAAAGTTCAGTTTTGATGCCACTTGAAAAACAATTGAAGGAGCTTCCGAATACCTTGACAAAGGCAAGACAAATAACACTGTTCGCCCCTTCCCCTAAACATTATAAGCCCCCAGGCCCCCTAAACTCTAAACCCTAAACCCTAAACCCTAAACCCTAAACCCTCCCTGACACAAGGAGGAGGACTTGGCGCCACCCTTGTCCGAGACGGAGTTGCAGATGTGCGCGGGTGTGGGCTGAAGGTGTAAGGGATACATTCTATATCATATAGTATATTAGTTTTTGTGCTTTTTTAAATGAGTATGTATGATGTTCTATAATACATATTATACAAGATAATGCCTATCATATATGTAATATAAAACCATGAACCCCGACGCCAACACAAATGTTAGGCTAGACCCTAGTTTAATGCTGGAAGGTTCACTGGTATCTAGAAGTAGTGTTGTAAATTCTCACCTACTGTAAGCTTATAGTTAGCATCCTGCGTTTGTTCCCTGATCAACCCCCAAGTACGGTCGAAAATCCAAGCCGAATTTTATGAGCCTTCCGCTTATGGGGCACATCGTATTGGTTAGGATCCCTTCTCGAGGTTCTTCCGTTCAAAGGGCTATACTGCAAAAAGCCTTCCTTCTCGTGTTTGATTTCAACCACCCACCCCCACCCCCCACCCCCCCCCCACCCCCGGCCCCGCGTACTACAGAGGGTTTATTTGGTGGATGGTTGAGTTCTGTTGCTAGGGACACGGGAGTAATCCCTTGCAAGCCCTGAACCCAAAACGCACCCAGCTGTCCTCGCAGGTACATCCGGGTGGCACGCACCTTCCGGCCCAAAATCTCCAACGAGGCGCACACGCTGATTGTGCGCTGCTACAAGAAGATGCGCGAGGCTGGGGCTTTGGTGGTTTGGGAAGTTTCGGAAGTAGGGTTTTGGGGGTTTTGGGTTTAGGATTTAGGGTTTCAGGGCTGTTCAAGGCTTCAGGTTATGTGGGTTAGTGGTTGAGTGCTTGGCTTACCACGCAAGGGCCCCAGCAGAGCATAAGCAGAACCGTCAAGAACTTCGAGGGCCCAAAAATTTGAACCCTTTACCTTAAAAAACATTAAAATAATTTCAGATCCCTGAACCCTACACCCTAAACCCTGAACCGCAAAGCCTTGCCTTCCTGCGCAAGTGCCTTCCACAAGGCCTGGGCTGCCCAGTACTTAGGAGTCATACTTCCTTTGGGGCCTAGGATTTGGATGGTTTCGGGTTTCGGGGTTTACGGAGGGCGAGGCTCCACCCCGAGAAATAGAAGAGGATGCTCTTGCTTATTCCTCTGGCATGCATGACTTTTTTGGGGTCCAGGGCTTCTGGTCGAGTTTGGCGCTTAGGCTTGAGGGTTCTCGGGCCTCTGGTAGGACAAAGCCCTAAACCCCAAACCCTAAACCCTAAACCCTAAACCGTGTAAGGGTTTGAGGGCGGTTTAGGGCTTAGGGTTCGGTGGTCTCCGATGTTTCGCGGCTGAGGCCCAAATTTTTAGACCCTCAAGCCCAGTATGTTTTAAAGCTGTGTCCAGAGTTCAAGTTCCCGCGCGAAAGCCGAAGCTAACACTAGCTGAGGGCTTAGGAGTAGGAAATTGAAATCATTTCGAGTGCCTGGCAGCTAGGCTGCACCACAAAGTTTCCTGCGAAGCATCACAACAGTCATGAGCGCTGGAAAGTTTGCTCGGGATGTTGGAGCGTCAGGGCTTGATCAAGCCCCTTTAGGGGTTTAGGGTTTACGGCTTAGGGTTTACGGTTTAAGGTTTAGGGCTTAGGCTTGACGACTCCCTGCGCGTGCCCATCCTCACAGGTTCTTCGTTTGCTGCTTCCAGGTATTCACTAGAACCCTATCTGTACCCAGGATCCCCAATATTGCCTTTGAAATTCGAAAGTTTATTGAAGCTTAAAGAGCTTTGAATGCATTGTGTGCTTCTGTTCATATCGACAAGCTTAGTTGCCTGTGCGCTGTGACCTTGCTTTTATGCATACTACTGTACACGTTGTGGTGTTATTCCGGGAGGAGAGAGGGAGAGGGAGGGAGATGGAGAGGGAGAGAGAGAGAGAGAGGCAGGGAGGGAGAGGGAGACAAAGAGAGCGCCAGCCTGCGTGGAAGGACCGCACCTATGTGCGCGGCGCGGCGGGCGTGACAGTTCGACAGCTGGAAAGCCTGGTTAGGCCTGGCAGAACCCAAAAAACCCTAACTCTAAACCAGCCTAACCCTACTGTAGACCCTGAACCCTGAACCCTCTAAGCCTCAGGGTTTCCAGCCACCCCAAGCTTCAGGTGCTTAGGGTTAGACCCTGAACCTCCCACACCTCCTGAAACCCCCAGGCCCAACCTGCTGAGTCCAAATGAAACCCTAAACAGGCCCAGGGCTTCCCTGCAGCTCTCGTACCGCGCCTGGCATGGAGACGCCGTCTGAGCGTTGGAAGGTTCAGCCTCACAGTCTGGAGGAGATGTCTCCGGGCGGGAAGCAACGCAAGCCGGGTAAGCCGTGGCCTAAAGCAACCCCCAAGCCCGAGAACTTTGGTGGCCGTCACAGCAGGGCCGGAGAATGTCGATCTTGCCATGCGCCTCATGACAAGCACCAGCGCGGTCGTCAGTGGGACCATTCCGGCTCGACCTTCAGCATCTAGCCGTATGACTACGTAAAGGGCCACGTACCTGGCCAGCCCCCCCCCACCCCCCCCAAAAAAAATAGACAAATGCAGCCCAAAGTCATGGCCCACCGGCTCATAATTTGAAAGGAGTTTTTCTGGCACGGTATGGAGCTTGGGAGTTGGATGGGCATAAGTAGGGCAACCGCTCCCGTGCTGCAAGTATACTTCGAGTAGAGACCCGAAGCCCGAAACAGCCCTCTAAGCCAAACCTGAGCCTTACAGACCTACAAACCAGCCCTAAACCCTCTAAACCCCTAAAGCCTCTAAACCCCTAAAACCCTTGAAACCCCTGAAGCCCCTGAAGCCCCTAAGACCCCTAAACAGCCCTAAGCAGCCCACAAAGACCCCGAACGGCGCCTTCCCTAAACCCCTAAGAACCCTAAACCCCTAAATCACCTAAAACCCTCCAAAAAAACAGCCCCGAAATGAGCCCGCAATGGTGCCTTCCCTGGCCGGTCAGGCTGTCCGAGGCCATCGCGCGCATCCATCTCACCGAGTGGGTGAAGCCGGGGGCTCCAGTGTGGGGCTCTGGGCCACTTGTAATTACAGGGCTTTTTTAGGGTTTACGGCTTTTGGGGTTTAGGGGTTTGGATTCAGGGGTTGTTATGGTTTAGGGTTTTTAGATCTTTAGAGTCGTGGTTTAGTGTTTGGGGTTTTTAGAGTGTTTCGAGGTTGGTGTATCAGGGTTTCGCACAAGTGCAGACCTCTTTAACGGGTCACGTAGGACGAAGTCTTCCCACACATTTAGGGGTGGGATCTGCATCCACGCAGTAGCGTGTGAGGTGTTGGACAAGCTCGGCCCCCCTCGTTCACTCACTTGCACAGAAAGGGCCATGACATGGGCCATCACTTTAAGAGGAGAGTGCCTTTGCAGCTTCGCTTTCCTGGCCCCCAAACCTCCCGAACCCCACGAACCCCAAAACCCTAAAACCCTAAACCCTAAACCCTAAACCCTAAACCACCCCAAACCCAGAAAAACTTTGTGAACCATAAACCAAGTTGTCGGCCACCGGTCTCCCGAGGACTGAGCACGTCAAAGAAGCCTTCGAGCTGCAGGCAACAGGGGGCTTAAGGGGTTTAGGGTTTAGGGTTTAGGGTTTAGGGTTTAGGGTTTAGGGTTGTAGGAGGTTCGATTTTCAGGGCTTAAATAGGGTTTCGGGATTCATGGTTTTCGGGGATTAGGGGTTTGGGGTTTAGGATGTTTGCGTTTCAGGGCTTGAGGGGCTTCAAGTGGCTAAAAACCCAGTGAATTCATAGCACAAGGGTGCAGAATGGCACGCATACATACATGCAATCATACTTTTATACATGCATACATTCATGCGTTCATACATACATGCATACATACATACATACATACATATGCATATACACACGCGTTAAGTCTTGATTAACGAAAACGAAGAATAAATCGCACAAACGTGCATATGTACGACAACTAAACAGATATCTACGGTCTGCCTTTCAGCCGAGTGAGTACCTGGCCAACCGTTGAACTTGGGGTTTCTTTCGTAGGTTTTTTCCAAAGTTTGACTTCTCTCTTCCCTGGTTATTGGAGAGGTATGTAAAGCCTAGGCCACAAAACCCTCCGCCCTTTTGACCCTCGGACCCTCCGTAAAGAGCTGTTGGTGGTGGACGGATGAATCCCCGAAGTGACGGACTCCAAACCGTCTAAACCCTAAGCCCTCATTGTGTCCCAAAACCCTACGCCCAAAACCCTAAGAACCATACTACATGGCACGCAATGTCCCTAACTTGAGAAAAAACGACCAGCTTTACAGCTGCCTTTGGCCCGCAGACGGCAGCCCTCAGACAAGGGCAACGCCTCTTAGCTGCTTCACCTCAGGGGTCGGGTTCGGGGTTTTTAGAGTTTAGGGTTTAGGGCCAGGGATTTGGGTTCAGGGTTCATGGTTCAGGGTTCAGGGTTTGGGGTTTGGGGTTTGGGGTTTGGGGTTTGGGGGTTTGCGTTCCAGGGTGTGGGTTTGGAAGGAGGTTCGATGGGGAATATGCCTAGGGTCATAAGTGGAGTAAGAGTTGTCATACGTTAGAAAGGCGTGCCGGGGTGCTGCAAACATACCGCTTCAACTTCCCAAGAAGAGACACTGATGCCGTTTGGTCAAGACATGTCAAATGTGAATAGCCAGGCTGTTGTTTTTGGCACACAGTTCCGTTGGGTAAAGTCTTGGCTCTTGTGCTCACTCAACGTTGATCCCTTTTCGGATTGCAAAGTGGCCGAAACCCTGAACCCCTAAAACTCCAGGACCCTTAGAAACCCTGGAGAAGCACGATTAGAAACCCCTTGAAGAGAAAGCCTCCCTAAACCCTGAAACCACTTCAAGAGTTTTCGCAGTCGCCGAGGCGAGAGCATTGAGTTTGAAGACATCGCAGCTGGCGTCGGTGAGCAGCAGCCCGCGGAGGGTGGCGAGGTTGGGTTCAAGGGGGTTGCAGGTTGAAGGTTTTTTTTACCCTAAACCCTAAACCCTAAACCCTCAGGGGGTTGCAGGTTGAAGGTTTTTTTTACCCTAAACCCTAAACCCCTAAAGATGAGTTGATGCAAGTGAAGGAAGCGGAGGGTCTGCCAGCGAAAAGTACCTGGGGTCCCGTAAGTCAAGGGACTACCCTTCAGAGCAATTAGAAGGAGCACAGTACTTTCGGGGTCTCTTGGGGGACCCCTGTCCCTCCGCAGGTTTGGTGGGGGGGGGGGGGGGGGGGGATCGCCGAGCCTTCGTCGAACTTGTGGGTGTTCGTGACCCTTCAGTTCAGGTAGGCTCGTAGCGAGCAGATTCGAACCTGACACAGTTGCAGAGCCTTTGTGTCATAAAGTCTGTGAAAACTGGTGCCTTTGCATCAAAAGGCCTTAATGCTAGACTAAATATGTCTTGGCTGGCTTGTTCTAATGTCAGAACAAGCCATGGAACCTTCACAGAACGTTCCTTGCAAGGTACTGGTAACTTCTGCGAAAGCTCTATTCTGTTCTGACCTGTTGTGGCCAGTTCTATTGAACACAGTTAAACTCCATTCACGCTGAGTGCTTGATCGATTTTGGTGTTTGTGACTGCGGGTGGCGAAGCTGAAGCTTATAAAGGTTCAGGCTTGGGAAGGTTCGTGCGCAGGGGGACCTTGGCAAGCCTTCCCTGATGATACCAGGGTTCGCAGGGCTCCGCTGGGGCCAAAATGGAGAACAAAGTTCCGAGAGCTTCGTCGAACTTTTGTGACAGATTCGTGGGCGGTTCATGGGATTTCTGTCTCAGGTAGGTTCGCAGCAGATTTGAACACAGTTGCGCAGCCTTTGTGTGAATAAAGCCTGCGGAAACCTAGTTTTTCGGAAACGGTAACGAAACACAATAGACCGTCCATGGATGTTCCCTGCAAGTTAAATTCTACTGAAATTGTATATGGGCTTTGTGGCTGCTCTCTGGCTGATGCCAGGTAACTTCTCATCAGAACGCTCTTGCTCTTAAAGCTTGTCTGCAATATAGAACACATGATATGACACAAATATGGGGCCTTGGATTGTTGATAGACGCACAAAACCGCATCGAATTTCATCATTTCTCTTACCGGACCAAAAACTTGATGTTCGAAACCGAACCCCTATCAAACTCCCCCAATGTTTCGTTGTTCTGCCTGTTAGGCCTCCACGTTCAGTCTTGCCTTTCCTGGCCCTTACTAATAACCCCTCACCCTAAACCCTGAGAACCGCAAATCCTAAACCGTAAGTTCAGGGTCCAGAGTTTAGGGTTTACCCTGAACCCCCCCCCCAGCTCAACCACCACTCTCCCTGAGGGCCAGGAGGCCGCCAACCGACCAAAGCGACTGCGCATCACGCACCCCGAATACATGCGCATGGGCGCGGCACTCGGGTCCCGTTATTTGGGGCATACGGGGCTTCAGGGCTTAGCGTTCAAGGTCTCGGGTTCAGGGTGTCAGGGACTGTACAAAGTATGTGTATGTATATCAGGGGCAAACCGATCAGGACGGCGTATGGGGGCGGATGGCACACAGCCTTCGGCAAAGGCCGTCGAACCCCCCTAGCCTTCGTCGAAACCCTTGGCCTTCGTCGAACCCCCCTCCCGGCCCTTGTGGCCTTCGTCGAGCATCCCCCCTTCAGTTAGCCTTCGTGGAACCCTCGCGTTTTTTTTCGGGCTTTGTCTTGGCCTTTTGTATCGGCCTTCGTCAAACCCCCTCCCCCTTCGTCGAACCTCCCGGCCTTCGTCGAACCTTCGCCCGGCCCCCCGGCCTTCGTCGAACTTCGCCTCGGCCCGTTGGTATCCCGAGTCTTCGTCGAAGTTCCCCGGCCATCCTGCTCTTCGGCCATCCTGATGTGTTTTCCCCTTAGTATATATATATATATATATATATAATTATATATGTGTATGTATGTATGTACAATTACACATATTCGCATACAGGGTCTAGAGTTTGGGGTTTGGGATTCTACAAGGACCCACAAGCGCCTCCAAGGGCCTCCAAGGATTCAGGAGTTCCGGCTTCTTTTGTTCCTCCAGCGCAGAGCGGGGCTCAGCAGGTCAAGAAATCCGTGGCCGGGCCCTACAAACTTGTTAAACCCTCAACCCTAAACCCTAAACCCTAAACCCTAAACCCTAAACCCTAAACCCTAAGCCCTAAACCCAATGGATCGGCGTGCCTTCGAGCGGCACCTCGACTCTTCGTGGCTCACTTTTCGGCGGCAGCTGCTGGACGCCTACCCTACGGACCCTGCGTCGCCCACACCGCCCGCACAGCTGGTCATCCAAAGTCCTGTGACCTGGCTTGTGCTTTTGGGAGAATTCTTAATTTCTTAAGGTCCCTTCTTTCCGTAAGTCCTGTGACTGGCTTGTGCTTTTGGGTAAACTGTTAAATGTCCCTTCTTTCCAAAAATCAGGGAACTCCGAATCATAGATCATTTTCGAAGGGTTCGAAGCAAAGGTGAAGAGTCCAGTGAGGACCCCTGTGGACAGCCCGCTGGAGACGGGCGCCGGAAGCTGGGAGAACGAGGGGCTGGCTGAGAAGAATTCTTTTTTCACTTGCCCCCTGCTTAAGAGCGGGTTGCAAGGTCTCTTAGTCATAATTGGGCACCATTTTACATGTTTTAAGGGCACTTCATCCCAAGAAGGAATTTAACAAAATTAAAATTTTCAATATTATCCCAACCATGAACGAGGTCTGAGCCGCAAGGAGGTGGAGTCCGTGAGAGACCGGCTCAAGCTACGCTTGGGGGTCTTGTCGTCGAAGCAGCTTGTCTCCGGCCGGGGCCTGCTGGATGCCGTTCAGGCCCTGGGCCTCACGAAGTACAGTGAGGAGGATATGAACGACTTCGTGAACCTTCTTGGCGACTTCATCAGCCTTGAGTTTCGCCTCGCAAAGCGGGGCAGCCAGCGCTCCTTGAATTCCTTCTTCAGCTTTGAGAAGTCTGCTATGTCACCTACGGGTTCCTCAGACGTCCTGAAGCTGGGGGAGGCTACCTGGCACTGGCCCTCAACGGAAGATGGCCCATCCTTGATCCGGTCGCACTCGGTTAAAGTGAAACGAAGAAGCCAGAATGTTTGCTACGACTGTGTCCCAGCGGCGCCGCTGCAGGAAATGTTGCTGTCAGAGGAGTCGGAGGCAGGGCACTCTCTTCGACGTGAAGCGTAATTAGCTTACGAGCCGTGCTTCAGGTGCACAAGCGGATCTTCGGGCAGAAGTTCAATCAGCGCCATGTTCACAACTACGGCGCGGGATCACACACGCAGTTAAGCTATGTCTGCATTACACAGGCCGTGCAGCACAACCGCGCGAGAACCGTTCTTTTGTTAATGCGAAATGCCGGCATTCACTGTCGTCAGTCGTGAGAACGCCTAGCATACGTCAGGACACATGTGACAATTACTCGTAGTTATATCGTGTGCGGCAGGTGGCAGTGCGTGGGTACATGAGCTTCTCATGGCGTAGCATACCCATGGGCGACATTGTATTCTCACCCATTCGGCTTGCAAGACCTCCCAACTGCCGGTGGTTTGGGGTTTAGGGTTTCGGGCTAGCCTCGTCCCAGCACAGCATGCAACCCACAACGACGCCCACAACGAGCAGCTGTTGATTTCAGCATCGACCGGTTGGACCCCCATGGGTTTAGAAGTTTAGCTGTGCTCCGCTACTGCAAATCCGAAACCTTCGAATTTGGAGTTTCCGGATCCGGTTTCTTTCTTGAGTTCACCTTCCGATGATAAGTCGAAGTTGGCCCTGAGTTTCACTTGCGGCAGCCCAACCACTTTCTTTTGAAGCTCCGCCTCAGGCTTTCACTTTTCATTAAAGTTCGAACAGGGGCCTTTATCAAGTTCCTGTTCAGCTTTTTTGTTCAGACTCTTCTTGCAATTATTCCTCCTGCACTCCTATCGGCATCAGGGTTGAGACGCAGTCGCATTAAGTTCTTGTTAAGCCCTGAATGAAGATACATTCGGACAGCGTCGAATGAGGTTCTCAAAACACCACAGTCAGACTCCCCAGCGACTCCCAGTGTACGTGGATCAGAATTCCAATTTCGATCCTAGAAAGTCCAACAAGGATCCCAGAAGAGCTCAGCTGTCGAGAACAGGAGAAATTGGGAGCAAAAAACACCAAAACAAGGGCAGACAAAGCAAGAGCGACGCATCCCCTCCAAACCAGCTGCAACAGCACCCCGCCTACACAGCAAGACAGCCCGAATAGACCCGAGAATCTGCAACAGAAGTAGACCGAGCCTTCGCAAGACTTTCTCCTCTTTTTGCACCACATCATCTACCATTTGCTTAAGTACCCCCAAAATTAACAAATAAAAACAAATATTTCTTTTAAAAAAATCAGTCTTCCTTGTAAGGGTAATATAGGGATTATTGTTATATATATATATATATATTTTTTTTTTTTTTTTGGGGGGGGGGGGGGTTCTTAAGCAAGTATAAGATCAAGGTACCAGGCCATCCGAGAGATCCTGCTTGCAGGGGACACGAACCGGCTGGTGGCAGAGTTGCGCTTGGGCCACAAGGGTTTAGGGTTTAGGGTTTAGGGTTTAGGGTTTAGGGTTTAGGGACTTAGTTAGCCGTTTTCTACAGCTGTCTGAGCCGCCTTCGTAGTAGGCCAGAGCTGCGCTAGAACAGTCCAAAAACCTAAAACAGCATCACAAGCTTGTGTCTGGCGCTTCTCACGGTTCTGCCACATCTTTTTTGCCAGAATCCCGCCGCAATCCTGCGCTACATGCGAGAACCAGTATACAGGAAGCACCTTGAGAGTACAAGCCGAGCGAACACCCAAAGGACCTTTGTGCGCATCAACGACTTGGCCGCACCCCCGGAGTCGATGTGCCTCGGATCTTGGGTAGTTCTCGCCTAAGCTGAGTGAGTGCTGGTTCTTGCAACTTGTACTATGAGGTTTTGGGAGTTGGGTGGCTTCTTCGTGCTGACGGCAGTGGTTTCAGCTACTGCCATGGGCCATGGGGCCGTTACAGCCATAGTAGCTCCGAGGCACCCGATCATGTACCTCGAACCCATCGTTGCCATTCTCATCGTTGGCAACGGGGTTATGATTGGCTTCCAGACGGATCCGCGCTACAGGACATGCCCACATACAATCCGGTTTTCAAAGCGAATCCCCAAGCAAACAGCATCAGGTAAATCTCAAAGGGCAAATGCCAAACCTGTCCTCTTTTCCGGCGTATCAGGGACTGGCCTGGCTGGGTCTATGTGGAGATGGTCTTTGCCATGTTCCTTGTTCTTCGGCTGCCACAGCAACTTTCGTGTGGGCGGAGGAACCACTGATATAGGGGTCGGAATGGTTACTAAGGATATTCCTTGGCGGTCCCTTTGTAATTATTCTATAATCATACCCCCAAAAACCTATTCTAATCATTCAGGCCCCTAGATACTCGTCTGTCTGCGTTGGTTTCTTTGTCTTCTTGTGAAGCTGCGCGCTTTGCAGGTTCTGGAGATCATCTTGCGCATGTGGGTGCTGCGATGTCGCGCTTACTGGTGCGGGCCGGATTGCTGGTGGAACATGTCGCTGCGCTTTTTCATTTACACTTGTGGCCTTGCGGGTTCAGTTGAGCCGACACCCGTGGTTCAGGAGCTAGTTGCATTCGGACCCAGGTTCGATATCTTCCTGATGACCACGAGCTTGTCTGACATCGTGATGCAGCTAGCGGGCGTCGTTCTGGACCTCGAGGGCACGTCCCTGCTACGGTTCTGCCGGCTCATTCGTCTTGTCCGAATCATCAAGGCCGCCGTCTGAGCCCTGAACTCTCAGCATCAGCACCCCCTCCCTTCACCCCGTCAGAGGTCTTCCGAGTCAAGATCATGAGGGACCTCCGCCTCATGGTGAAGGGTCTGGTGGCAGGCAGGGCGGCTCAGAGCCGTTGAGGTTTCAGAGGACTTGCAACCTTTGGATGGCAAATGGCAATGTGCTCAGGTGTCCGAACCCTGTCACTTGCCTTCGTGCTGCTGTTCACTGTCCTCTACGTTATCGCAGGTTCGGAGGGCGGTTCGTTTCAACATCCTTTCACTCGCGAGGCCTCCCTGGAGCCCCTTCGCCCCTCTCAGGTTTCGCTACCATGACAATCGGGAACTGGGAGCAAACGGCAGAGATCGGCCTTGACAAGTACTTCAACAACATTCCCTGGTCGATGTTCACAGCCTTTCGGTGCTTTACAGGCAGGATCCTTGCAAAGAGAACGGGGGTGCCTTGAACGGGTTGGTGTCACAGCCAGGACGGCTCAGGGGTCGGTGCAGCAAGCGTGGCCTTGCCAAACGCGATTTAGGGTTTAGGGTTTGAGGGTTTAGGGTTTAGGGTTGAGGGCATGGATTTTCGTAGATCTTGCCTGAGGCGAGTGCACCAGTGATGATGGCCGACCTCTCCAGTCGCTACTGGCCGCTGAGTACGGCGTCATCTTTGTTGCTGGTTATGTAGCTTAGTAGCCCAGTGGTACCCTTTACACTTCTTTTGTTCATGGGTTCCCTTATAAAGTAACCAACCCTAAACCCTAAACCCTAAACCCTAAACCCTAAACCCTAAACCCAAAGGGCCCTTGTCATAATATGGTTACTGGGCTACTAAGGTAGCCAGCTACATGCTTGTGAGCATGGGCATTTTCAACCTGATTCTTGCAGTCTATGCGCCTCCGAATGCACTTAAATGATCGTGTGCTTCTTGGTTAGTTAGGTAGTGACTTCTTTTGTTGCCGCCTGCAGGTGGATATCACAATGAAGGCAGCTAAAGAAAGCGATGCCATGAGTGCTGAGCAGCATTCTAGGGAATCCATTCGCGTAGCCCGGACGACGCGGGAGCTGTTGAAGATATTCAGCGCAGCATATCACTCCTTCCGGGACACCGCCGTGAATGGGGAGTTGATGATGAGGACCCCATCAGCGGCAGCATACGTGGAGGAAGCCTCACAAGACCAGGTGGGGGGGGGGGGGGGGGGGGGGGGGTATGTTCTTTAGCTGAAAGGCCGTGTGTGGATCAAGTCAACGGACTTGCTCTGACTGTAACTTTACATCTTTAGCCTTTTTGGGTTTATTGGGTTTCTTAAGAAGGCAGCTAAAAATTAAATTCATAGCTACCCTCCTAAGTGCAGCCAAGCCAGTTGTATTGAGAAAACCAGGTGGCCATCACCAAAGAGCTCTTCTTGCTGGTGATCCAGGATTCCTGATGCTGTCATTGGTCAGTTTAGGGACCCTATACCAACTGCTTACGAGAAAAGCGAGTTATCTTCTGCCAAAGACCCAATTAAACCCTAAATCCTAAACCCTAAACCCATCCATGCAAACGAGGACCGGCGTGCCCAGCAGTTGATGGACGACCTGGATTTGCCCCCGGATCGAGCCAACCTGTTCGAGATGCTTCTGGGTTTGCCGTGTGAAGTTTGCTCTTCGGGGTAGCTGGAGTTTTAGGCTTTAGGGTTTAGAAGGGCTTTTGGAACCTGAAGCCAGAAACGGTATGGCAACATTAGCTTTGTGCTCGCATGCTGAGCAAAGTCAAGCCGCACAGCACCCTGCCAACACAGTTGAGCTATACTGGCTACACTACATTTCCGAATCACGCCGGACAACCCCCTCCTAATGAAAATTGTGGTATGGGTCCCCTAAACCCTAAACCCTGAACCCTGAACCCTAAACCCTAAACCCTAGATTAAGGCTAGACGCCGACGGCAGTGGAACGCTGCAGACCTCCGAGTTGCTTCAGGGCATGTTGAAGATCCGCGGTGAGGTACCTGACCAATATTACACGGCTTGTCAGGGTTTTGGGGTTTAGGGTTGAGGGTCTAGGGTTGAAAGTTTAGGGTTTAGGGTTTAGGGTTTAGGGTTTAGGGCTCTTACGCTTTGCAAAAGGTTTGCTTGGTCCAGTTCGACTTGGTAGAAATCCATTCCAACGGTGACTCGTGCTGCTTCTGAAGACGTGACTGTTGACGACGGCTGAGGTGAACAAGAGCGACACCGTTGCTTCCCTCCTGGCCACCAAGGCCGTCCAAAGCCTGGTAACCCAAGTGAAGGACCAAGCTGCCCAAAAGGTGACATCCCAAGCACGGAACTTCAGCAGCAAGGGTCGGAATGAATACTAATAGCATTCCCTTCTGGTCCCTTTTACAAATGTACTATAAGAACCCCCAAAGGCCTATTCGAATTCTTCTCAGGCCCCCTATAAGAGAGAACACTTGGCTCTTGTGAGCCAGGAGCAGAACACCGTAAACCCTCAACCCTAAACACCTGGCTCTTGTGAGCCAGGAGCAGAACACCCTGCTGCTGGAGACAGCAACGGCCATGAGCCAGATGCAGCTGACGCAGCTCTCCCGCCTGGCAGCGCTGACCGACACGGTGGACGATGCTCAGCATGCTGAGGCGGGTGAGGGTTTTAGGGTTTAGGGTTTAGGGTTTAGGGTTTAGGGTTTAGGGTTTAGGGTTGATTGTTTAGGGTTTAGGGTTTAGGGTTCAGGGTTCAGGGTTTAGGGTGGAGTCTGCTTGGTGTTTGCATGGGGCCTTCCGACATGACGCTTGCAGCGCTTGGGTGTCCATGTGCCTGCAGGTGATTGCGAAAATTCAGTCACTGGGAACGGGATTCGATCACAGAGCACAGTGCACTCCGGATCCGGCAGCAGGCTCGCGAATCTCGAGCAAGGCGGGGCATTCCTACAATTTTTTCTTTTGGCGTTGTGTGTTTAGCTGCACTTGTCCCGTGGGAAAGGCCCGCCTGCGGGCGGCTTCCCTTTCTTTGTTTTTATTCCCTTTGTTAACCCTTTGTTTTTGGGGTTCTCGTCTTGGGACCAGTATTTGTGCTCCCCCAGGCTGTTTAAAGCGTTAAATGGGGGAGGCTATAGGGAGTCCTTGGGGCCTTGTCGAAACCTTGTGGAAGCCTTCCGGGGGACTTCCAACAGAACTGCAGCTGAGAGCTGGGTTGGAAAAAAGAAGAGGAGGAGGCAGGCGCCACTTCTTTCTTTCTTTCTTTCTTTCTTTCTTTCTTTCTTTCTTTCTTTCTTTCTTTCTTTCTTTCTTTCTCTCTCTCTCTCTCTCTCTCTCTCCCTGCCTCGCTTTTTCGGGTTCTCTCTCTCAAAACGCATCTTCCCGGCCCGAATCGGATGTATATTTTCCACTGACTGAGGCCTTCCATGTGCAAGCGCCACAGAGGCCTGGGTCGCCATTGTGCCATATGGAGAAATCGCCTTCTTTCGACTGATCGTGGCTTGTGACGGCTTCTTCGTGATCTCGGTACCCTGGCACGAGAGATGCCTCTTGTGTGGTAGATTTCTCTGTGGCCGGGTGCTGACCCATCAAGTCGAGGTTCAGTCACACTTTATGTTGCCACCACTGGGATATTGAAGTAGTGCCGGAGTTTTGGGAAGTTCCGCGGTTTCGGAGGGTTGCAGATCCGTGCCAGCACGTTGTCTCAGCAGTACGATGTCGTTCCGGAGACTGCTCTTCCCCCGAAGTTTACCGCGTGCCTGTAGGGCCGCTCACCACGGTCTAAGGGGTTTAGGGTTTAGGGTTTAGGGGTGAGAGGCTTTGCTGGTAAAGTTTTCCAGCTCCCAGCCGCCCAGCCTCGCTTGTGTGATGTGTCTTTTGTGGCATTCCGAATGGGCGCAGACCAGGGATCTCTGGCAGAGTAGCGAGAATAGTGTGCCGCGAGCTTGGGCGGGATTTAAGGTCTGCATAATGGCGAAACACATCGAACTCCGAACGTCCGAGGCTTTTGCCTTAGCCCAAGGCTTTGGCTTGTCGTTGCCAGTTGACCGCTCTTGGGTCAGTTTCTTTTCTCAAAAATGCAGAGTATGGACAATGTCCGAGCAGTCACGACAGTTCATAAGAATCAAGATGGTAAGAAATTTGGCGGGTAGATGCTCGACGCAAAAGGCTGACCCGATGCCGTAGGAAGCTGCAGTCGAGCAGGCTCCAACGGAGCGAAGAAAGCCCCCGAAGGTCGAGTGCTGAGCCGGATTGTGCCGACCCGCAGAGCAGAAAGCCCTTGAGCGGCCACGTTGAGGTCGCGCGTTTGTTTCTTGATGCTGGGGAAGCCGTCACGCCCTAGTTCCCTCAGTATGCTCTGAACTGCCTCAAGGGTCCACAGATGATGAGTGCTTGGTGGAATTGCAGAAATCGTGCCATGTGCAACAAGAAGAACTGAGCAAGAATCATGTCCAGTCGTTGACCATGTAGTATTCTTGTAACAAGTACGCAGGGTAGCTGCAGTTATAACCAAATGTAGGGCAAATTTGCCATGCCTGCAATCACCCTAAGGCTCCAAATGGCCCAAAGTAGGTATTATTTGCAGACTTTAGGCCCTACTGTGGGTATTATTTATATAACTCGAGCCTTCTAGGGTTACCCATTTTAAACCCTAAACACTAAACCCTAAACACTAAACCCTAAACCCCAAACCTTTAAACCCCAAACCAGGTCAGCTGCTCCTGCGACACCTAGCGGATCAAGATGCCGCGGGTGTGAATGTGAAGGCCGCTCGCAAGCTCTAAAGAGTGGGGGAGGGGGGTCGCGAAAACGGGTTCAGGGTTTAGGGTTTAGGGTTTAGGGTTTAGGGCTATGTGTTTTGAGCTCAGGGTGCTTGAGGGTGTTGGATGGCGGTTCTGCTGAGTCAAATTGGAAGCTTGTAGTAACTAGTTACGATGCATCCTTGCTTTTTGTGTCCCTAAACCCGAAACCCTAGACTCTAAACCCGTTTCTTTTTCATGTGGGAGCCGAAGGTGAGCAAGAGTTACGAAAGGCTCACGAGTACCTAGGGTTTCTTTGAGGACACGCCAACAGTTCGAATAATTGCAATGATACTTGGTATATGTATGTATGTATGTATGCAGCCCACCCCGCACCCACCCAGCAGCGGAAGACGGGTGAAAACCCGCTTCGCACCTCCCGACCTTCCCTCCTTTACCCGCCACTGAGTCCAGCAGAACAGCTGCTGCTGGCTGGTTCTCACGTCTCGCTCACGCCCCATCCCCTGAAAATGTAGCCCTCACCTTAAACCCACGGTATCCTGCACCCCCCGAAAGCTTGCATCTTAAGGTTTTGGGGTTTTGGGGTCTGGGGTTGCGCCATGCAGCCCCATGCCAAACCCTTGAGCCTTACTGTACTTACACTCCATTGATCTGAGGTAGACTTCAGGCCACTCATGGCAAGCTTTCCGCACCCAAATCCTACAGCCCTAAGATCGACCAACCCTCATGAAACATGGAGGGAGGGAGCTGGTCTGCACCGCCCCAGGAGAGCGATCTCATCAGCTGGTCTGGCTCCCAGACAGGGCAGCATTTCGGGCCCAGGGCGCGGGATGTTGTCAGTTCTCACAAGCATGCCTTTTTCTGGGGTACCCTAAACAAGAGGCGGTCCCTATCATAAGGACCCGAAAAGGGACCATATTTTTGAGAAGTGACCATATGTCGGGCTTGAGGTTTTGGGCTCAGGGTTACTTAGTGTTTTGGGCGTTGGTGCTCAGAGATGCCTGCGGTTCGGGTTTATTTGCTTGAGGATCTTCGAACAATACTAGACAACCACGTAACAGGCATCTGCAAATTTGACTGACTTGTGCTTTGTGGGGCTCTTTCAGCTGATCCTGGTTCAGGGATGTTTAGGGTTTAGGGCTCAGCGGCTCAGCGTTATGTAGGGGTTTAAGTTTAGCGTTGGTGGTTCAGGGATTGTTTAGGGTCCAAGGTTGTTTGTTTTTTTTGTTTCAGGGTCACCTGAGAATAGGTAGCCCCTTGGGACATGTTATATTTTCCCTTGTTGGGTTAAGATGATCATATCCAGGAAATTTGTTCTGAGGGTTTTTAAAGGCCATCCTCGAAAATTGAGGCCCACCCTTTTCCCCAAATATTACTACAGGGGCCTTAGTAATCAGAATCGGGTTTTGGGGCGTTACTTGAGTATAACTACAAAAGGGGACCAAAGGGAATACTACTAAGTACCACTAGTAATTATTCCGGCCCTTGTATTAGGTGTTTTGGGTTCAGCTGTTTCGTTGCTGGTGCGGAACTTCGGGGTCGAGAAGAGTTGGGAGCAGCTGCAGGTCTTGCATATTTTGTAAGACACGTGTTTGGGTTTAGTGTTCAAGGTTTAGGGTTTAGGGTTTAGGGTTTAGGAATTTTGTTGGCACAAGTAGCTTACGTCAACACATGGGCTGAGGCTCTTGGGTTGAGGTGGTGGAGGGTTTCTGGTTTGTTGTTTGATGTGGCTAAGTGCAAAACTCTCTAAGCTGCAGTTTACAGTCGTACCCTTAACCCTGAACCCTAAACCCTTTTTGTAAGGGTCTGGGGGAGGGGGGTGTTAGGGATGGAGCTCACATTCAGTGCTCCTTTGGGCCATCGGACTACGAAGTGGCTTTCCAAGTTTTCTGGGGTTCAGGGTTTCCTTCATTGCATGCCCCCCCCTCCATCCCCACCCTAATCCCAGCAAAAAACTAACGCGCAAACTCAGCCCCAAACCTACACCATCGCTTTAATCCTTGGGCCCTTCTCGCTTCTAGGACCTGATGTGGGGAACGTTGAGGATGTTAGGGGTACATTGTTGGGGTCCTGTTGATAAAGGAATCCTACTATGTTGGGGGTCTCTATACAAAATGGGCCCCTTATGCTCCTAAACCCCCCCTCCCCATGGTAGAAGCGGGCGCAGCAGCCGAAAGGTACATGGAGAAGGCTGTCGCGGATGTCGTCACGGAGGCTTGAGACGGAGTCGACTCATCCTCGGGTTCCGGGGACTTAGGATTGAGGGTGGCAGTCCCCTAAACCCGCAAAACCCTAACCCTAGACCCTAAACCCCAAACCCTAAAACCCTAAAACCCTAAAACCCTAAACCCTGAAGCCCTACCACCCTACAGCCCTAGAACCCTAAACCCTGCAACCCTACAGCCCTAGACTAGATTCCTAAACCCTACAACCCTACAACCCTACAACCCTACAACCCTAAACCTTAAACCCTAAACCTACAGACCCTAAACCTTAAACCCTAAACCTACAGACCCTAAGAGACCCTATCTTTACAGAACCGGGCTCTGGGTTTTTTGGGGATCAGCGGGGTTTCGCTCGGCCCGTCAGGCTGTAACGCTTGGGTCTCAGGAGCCATTGGGGCGCCGGGGTTGCTGTTTTGAGGTTTAGGGTTTAGGGGTTAGGGTTTAGGTTTAGGGTTAGGGTTTAGGGTTTAGGGTTTAGGGTTTAGGGTTTAGGGCTTAGGGCTTAGGGCTTAGGGCTTAGGGCTTAGGGTTTTGGGTTTTAGGGTTAGGTTCTTGGGTGTAAGGTTCAGGGTTCAGGGTTCAGGTTTTCGGGTTTGGGCCTGTTTAGGGTGTAGGGTTTAGGAACTACGGGGCTTACGGGGGATCCTACCTTGACCATGGCTGAAGGCTGAACCCAAGATCCCTTGAGCCCTAAGCCTAGGATCCCCCGTACATAAGGTGCCCTAAAGCCGAAAACCCTAAACCCTAAACCCACAGCCCTAAACCCTAAACCCTAAACCCAAAAACCCTAAACCCCAAACCCCAAACCCCAAACCCCAAACCCTAAACCCTAAACCCTGATCCCAAACCCTTTGAAGGAAGACCTCTTCCAGCAGCACCACCTCGTGCAGCTAGTGGTGCGAGGCTGAGCATCGAACAAGGTCCGGATGGCGCCCTCGTTTGTTCTTTCTTGGTTTCACGGTTTAGGGTTTAGGGTTTAGGGTGGCCCGCTCTTCTACAATGAAAGGGCACCCTTTTCTGTCATAGGTTCCGGGGGGGAAGCAGCTACTGAAGGCATATCTGTGATGATTCTACAAGCATGTGGATTGCTGGAGGGACGTTCCAGGTAACCCAATATTTTCCGATACTGAACAGGACGTTCCAGGCAACCTGTTGCCGGAATTGGTGAGTGCAATATGTGGCCCCGCTTTAAGTTTTGTGAGTTCCTATACAGTGTGTCTTCTGGGACACAAACCAAAGAAGCTATTCGACATGGTCGGCTCTGAGACCCTGGCCAGGGGCCCCGTGCCCTTACCTCATGGCTGGAACAGCGATTCTTTTGGAATCTAAGGGGCGGTCCAAATCACCTCAACACGCCAACCCCTGAAACCCCCCAAATCATGAGCCCTGAGAGTCCCTAGAAAGCCTGAAACCCCAAACCCGACACCCCAAGATTCTCTTTGAGGGCCCTAAGCCACCGAGATCAACCGAATGATCTCGCGCGACCGGGTGATCATGGTCTACTCGGA